AGGAAAAAACCCGGCCTCAGGCCAAAAATACCCGACCGGGTAATTTTTTGGCCTGAGACCGGGTAATTTCGGCTGTGGAACGCGGCGTTTTGGAACCCCCGATCCCCCGCCAAAAATACCCGACCGGGTATTTTTGGCGCGGGACCGGGGATCTGCACCCTTTGAAACGCGGCGTTTGACAGAATTCCCCGGTCGCGGACTCGATAATACCCGACCGGGTATTTTCGGGACCCGACCGGGTATTTGTCCTATATAAAGGAAACCCCCGGTCATTTCTCTCTCTACCTCTCATTTTTTTCCAAAATCACTTCTCTCTCCTCCCCCATTTCCTCTCCCCTCTCTCCTCCTTGGCCGCCGCCGGCAGCCATCACAAGCCGCCGGCCGCCGCCCGCTGGACGCCGCCGCCGCCGCCCTCCGCCGCCGGCCGCCGCGCCGCCGCCGGACACTTTCCGGCCCTTTTCCGGCGAGTTTCCGGGGCGATTTTTTTTCGCTCTCCTCGCGCCCCTCACCCGTCTTTCGAGTCCTAGCTACGGTCCTCCTTGTGTTTCCAGGTGTGTTTCCTGTTCATTTCTAGTTTATGGAAAATCGGACTGTAGATTCTAGGACCGAGAACTGTGGTTGCATGCCTAATTTAGACTAGGGTGAGGGCAGACTCGAGCGTGCATGGCTGTGTATGTGATAGATGAACTGTCTGCGTGATGATTGTGGTTTATTCTGTGATTCTGCCTTGAATTCCAGTTGAGTGGCTTACAATTCACCTGGCTGTGCTTAATTTGTTAGCCTAGGTGAGCTCGAGTGTGGGGGAAGTACTGACCCCATGCCGTTAGTCCTGACCATATATTCTCTTGGCTCCACCTATGGTGTTTTGATTTTGCAGGGCCATGTCGCAGGACCATCCCTTCGTGCAGGATCTGCGCCTGCACGCGGAGTATGCGGACCAGTTCTGCAAGGTGATACGAGGGAAGCTGGAGAAGCACCACCACCTCGAGTGGGCAGTGTTCGAGCAGCTCCACTGCTTGCAGGAGCTTAGCACCGCCATCAGTCACCCTGATTGGCGGACCCTGCTTGCCATTGATGAGCCCACCTTCACGGAGTTGGTGTGGGAGTTCTACACCACCTATCGCTACGACCGCTCGATGGCCCGGGACGAGTATGCGGTAACGTTCCGGTTGGGTGGCGATCACAGGGAGCTGACCATCGACGGGTTGGCCCACGCTCTGGGTATCGAGTACCACCCCTTCGATGCCCATGAGCTCGAGGTTGCCCACCCGACCGACTGGAACCAGACTGCTTTCTACCGCAGGATAGCCAGGCGCGCCTATGGCTACGACTACTTCGATGCTGGCCAGACCTCCGTCAGCACCCTCAAGCCGCAGTGGCACATCCTGAACCTGCTGATCACCCGGTCCGTCGTCCCCAACGCCACCGGTTCGCATAAGATCCCGAAGCGGGTGTTATACGCCATGTACTCGATGGGGGATCCGGCTCACATGCTTCACCTGGGCTCCTTCATGGCCCTCACTTTCCACCGGATCCGTGGGCATCCTACCCACCTCTTCTGTGGTCCCCTGATCACACGGTTGGCGAGGCATTTCGACATCAGCTTTCAGGGGCTTCACAATGCGACTGTGTTGGGTGGTTCCGCCCCCCTCAGCCGGGACGTGCTCAACAACGCGCGCCTCCTCGCCACTGATGACATCCGCACCTGGGTGGATGGGCTCTCTATGCCCCCCGCGGGGGTGATTGATCTCGACTCGGACGAGGAGGATGCGGACTACTCGGACGATGAGGAGGTGGATGAGGATGCTGACGATGATGATGACGGCGTGATGGATGCCGATGCACCGGAGCCTTCGCTCTCCCCTCCTGGGGATCTGCAGCCTCGACGGAGACCGGAGAGAGGCGAGTCCTCCTCTGGTCCTTCTGGTCCGTCGATGGACTTCTTCACGGAGCAGTTCCAGCAGATGGGCCTCCAGTTCCAGCAGCTGGGTCTTCAGAACCAGCAGCTCATGGACCATCAGGTCCAGTTTTACCAGCAGTATTCGGCCCACCAGGCCGAGTACCGGTCCCGGATGACGGGCGTGGATGAGCGCCTTGGCCGATTGGAGACCCACATGGGCCACACTACTGCTCTCATCGAGCGGGAGAGAGACCGAGGTCGCCGTCTGATGGAGTATTCCGAGCATCTACTCCAGGACTTGCCACCCTCCAGCAGAGCACCACTGGACCACCAGGTGGGAGCATTCACCACCACGGCAGCCTCCGGATGATGGCGTCGACGACCTTATGGATCAGATTGATTTCTCCGGTCTCGGAGGGCCCTAGGGGCTTGTTTTGAGAGTTTTTATCTGTGTCAGCATGCAAACTGTCTGTTTTGTGTCGGTTTTTGTTTCTTTTCATTCTGGATTATGTACTATTGGGCTGACCGTTGGACCTAACGTATGTGTTTGAGCTTTTTGGTCTCTTTTAGCTCTGCCTGTGTTCCCGACTGGTCCTCTCTCCAGTCCATCCCATGCCGACTGGTCCATTTCCAGTCTTCTGCAGTCTGTGCACACCGGTAACATCGTTCCCCTTTCCTTCCCTCTTCTCCATTGAGGGCAATGTCGATCTTAAGTGTGGGGGGGATGTTTATCTTTTGACTGCATTAGCTCTGTTTGTGTGCTTGGAGCCTAGTCCACTGTCCAAATCTTACGATTTGAGGGCTCCGAGTACTGCTGTTTGATCATATTGGCACTGTGTTTTGATGGATGAATTGATTGGTTTTCGGATTAATGCATGACAACTTGTTTGCGACTAGGTACAACCTATGATGAGGACTGAGATGTGCAGTAGAACGATGTAGGGGTTCAGTTTTTCAACTGTTTGCTTGCCAACTGTGACTTGATCTGACTTGATCTGATTACTTATCCTTGACAGTCGTTTATGCATCTAGTTCAGGGTATCAGAATGTGAGATAGAGCATATAGGTAGCCATGTGAGATTTGAGCCTGCTCGTTTCTTTCTTGTGCGACTAGATCCCTCTTCCATGATGTGTAGCATTCACGTTGTCACTAGCTAAGATGATGGGGGCATAGGATTAGCCCACGCCCAAAACTGACTGTCCTGATGTGTCATATCCCCTAGTCAGCCCCTTTGAGCCGTGTGTTATCCTTTCTTTTGGTCTATAATGAAAAAATCACCCTTGTCGCATCTTTTAGAAGGTTCCACAGAGTGGTTTTATATATTCTCTGCTGTTTCTGCTTAAAGTCTATGTGAGTGTTGGAGGTAGTGCTTAAAAGTTGGGCATGTGTTTGAAATTATTGCAGAAGTGGGGGCTCTCTTAAGAAATGAAAAGAAAAATGAAAGAAAAACAAAGAAAAATTGAAAGCAAAAGAGAGTCACTACCAACAATCGGAGTAATGCCCAGTAAGCAGTGTTTCTTAGTAGTCTGGCTTGGAAATGCTGATGATTATGCCTCCTTCGCTCTTGTGCTCTTAAGATATTGAGGAATGCAGAATAGCAGAAAGAAAATACCGGGTTGGTTGACTGTGATTGTGTGTTTGGAAAATGTGGAACCTTTTTGCTATGAATACTTCCACCACCTAAAAGGCCTTTTCCCCATGTCCAAGACCCTAGCCAGTCATTTGAACCTGTGTCTAAGACCTCCTGATTAGTTAGTGGTGACACCCCATATGTGAACTCTAGCATTTAGAGGCTGCCATCATGGTGAAGAGATGATAGGGATTGAGAGAAATAGCATGCGCATCTTTCGCATCAAAAATTGTCCTGACCCCACTAGTCGAGAGTGAGTGATTCATTTCCATTTTCTATATGCTCTTGTACCCCGGTGAGGACCTAGATTGCTCGGTCTCTATTCTGATGTTTTGAGTTGGATGCATGAGTCGACTGTTTTGAGTAAGTGGTTGAATCAAGTCTAGGTTGGCTAGTGAACAGACGGGAGACTCTTCCTTTACTCGATTTGCTGCACTCGAATGTCCTTTGTGGTGGTTGTCCAGGTTGTTATTGAGGTTGTGCATGTATTGATGTTTGAAAACCAGTGCGATTCACGTGTTTTGTGCCTTTATGACTTGTCCCCAGTGTTGGTTGATTGATTTGTAAGCTTACCTAGTGTCTGACTTGGTTTGCTTGGGGACAAGCAAACGGTTAAGTGTGGGGGAGTTTGATAGACCGATAATTATACATATTTTCACCCCTATTCTGGAGCCGTTTGTGCTGAGGAATCTCGTGTTTTAAGCCGATTTTACGCCAGGTTGTGTGTTTGTGTCATATTTCAGGTCCCGGCGTTGGAATCGAGGCGGAGAAACGAGTTCTGGGTCGAAAGGAGCCGAGTTGGGACTAAGGGGGCTGCAGGAGGAAAATACCCGGTCGGATGGCAAAATACCCGACCGGGTATTTATCGTTTTTGGCACCCGTGAGAAACAGAAGGGGGCCCGGGCGAAGGCCTTAAATCCCCGGTCGGGGATTTTGGTGGTAGACCGGGGATTTTCGCCTTTAGTGGAACGGTGCGTTTCACAATACCCGGTCGAACCATAAAATACCCGACCGGGTATTTTGACCGGGTATCGCGACCAGGCAGCTGATAAAAGAGGAAGAAGGCCAATTTTCAAAGGGTTCCGAGTTTTTGAGAGAGAAACCGATACCTAGAGAGAGAAAGCGTCGAACCAGAGTTCTCAAGCGCCATAGATCGATCTTCAACACCATTGGAGCCCGTCTTGAGCTTGGAGAAGTGCGATTAAACGTCCAGAAGCAGGAATCCAACTTCACAGTATGATTTCCGTGTCTGAATCTGCTTTTGCTTCTTTCTCTATGGAGTAGTTTCCCCATTCATCTGGGTATGGAGAACCCTAGATTTGTATGCTAGGTCTGATTGTATGAACCCAAGTACAGAGTTTGTGAATTGATTATATTCGATTGAGGTTTGTGATATGATCCCAAACCTCTCGAATTACAACCCTCAATGGATCGATCAAGAAACAGGATCAATCACGGATAAGGAGGGTGAATTTTGTCTAAGTCATTTTTATGTTGCAGGATACCATCTTTGGAAGCTTGCTACGCTCAAATGGCTCGAAGGAAATACAAGGCAAGAGTTTGGGGCTGGAATAGAGATGTTTCTCTACACAATGGAAGCTTTGGATAAGCCAGGAGAAGCCATTTTAATGATTTTCCAAAGCCTCCAAGTTGCTAGCCAGAAACTGGAATTTTGTTCAAAAATGGCTAAGTCTGGAACTGAGTTGGAGGTGACTACTTTAGGGCTTCATTCTGGACAGATGGGGGAGAACCATGGCCAGAGACGAGTACCCCATGAAACTACATTTCACAATCTACAACGTAAAGGCATTGGTTGAAGAATTGGAGTTCGTTTGATCCTTGAACAAGGCGGCCAAAGTAACTATGTTAAGCTGTTTTATTTCCTTGTAATGTAAGACTTGATTTCCTTGTGCCACAAGGATTAGTAGTAGTTATTGTTATAGTTGAACTAGGATTAGTGTTGATTCCTTTTAAGCGTAGGATGGTGGTTGTAATTGCCTATAAAAGGCTTGGAACGTGAAGGGGTGAGCAGAACATGTTGATTGAATGAATTTTATTCCAATTCCCAAACTTGAGAGTTTGTGAGTTTGATTGGTTTTTGGTTGCGATCAAAGACTTGCTGACTTTGCTTATCAATCGAGAATCGCCATCGATTGCATCGAAAGCTTCCTCATATCGAGTGTGCATCCTTCCAGGTGTAAGGGTTCCCGTTCGATTCCATCCGAAATTGAGTTTGTGAGAGCTTGACCAAGCTAGGGTCGAGTTCTGTGTTTAATCCGAGAGCATCATCTTGACCTAGCTAGCGTGCTGCGCGACTGTGATCCTTTGAGTCCCGAGTTTGGTCTCATCAAGTGGCATCTAGAGCCTGGTTCAACGCAGTGGACACAAGCACGGAGATAACGAAGGAGGGCGGCGCCGGAGCAAGTCACTGGACGAGGTCGAAGGGCCCTGTCACAGGTGATCCTGCCCTGCTGTTATCCGAACAGAAAAAGAAGAAGAAACAAGCAGCAGCAGTTGCATCAAAGAATCAAACCTCTAACCCGGCATCGACTTCTAATCAAGTGAAATCGACGATGGGAGAGGCCCAACCTGTTACGATGGCGGGGCTGCAACAATTCTTACAGGAGCAAGTCGTGGCCCTGTTGCAGAACCAGCTGGACAGGCAAGAAGAAAGGTTCGCAGACATCAATAATAAATTTGATGCTCTGACTCGCCAAGTCACAATGCTGCGACAGCCTGAGGAACCAATGGCGGCGACACCGCTCAGAACTCATACTGCTCACGAGCAGGGGTTCCCACCGCTGGCGAATCAAAGAATTCCGAGGAGGAATGGCACCGAGGCCGACAATCAAGCTCTGGCCGAACGCGTTATAGAGCTAGAACGACAACTGATGACCCTGGACGTCAACCAACGACCACCACACCATCAACGAGCAGGAGTGTTGCGAGCTGAACAAGGAACAGAGGAGGTGCCCGTATCGGAATTGAGGGGAATTAAACTCTCGATTCCAGCCTTTCAAGGAACAATCAACGCTGCTGCATATCTGGATTGGGAGAGGAAGATTACCTTGTTTTTTCAGTGTGGCAACTACAGCGATTCGCAGAAGATCACATTAGCGACGTATGAATTCACTGATTATGCTGCGACGTGGTGGGAGAAGGTTCAGTTGAGAAGAAGAAGGAACTTGCAGGCTCCTGTGGCGACATGGGAAGAGTTAAGGGGATTGATGAGAGAGCGTTTTGTTCCTGCATATTATCAACGCGAGTTATACGAGTCGTTGCAAGCAATTCGGCAGGGGTCGAGGTCCGTTGATGACTATTACAAAGAACTGGAGCTGTTAATGGTGAGAGCGGATGTTAGAGAGGATCAGGAGGCGACGATTTCACGCTTTCTTCATGGCCTCAACAGGGAAGTTCGAAATGAGGTGGAGCTACGTCAATTCGTGGATTTGGAAGAAGTGGTTCACCTTGCTATCAAGGTTGAACGGCAATTGAAGGCTGGATCAGGACGGCGGTTTCAGAACACAACTCCTCGGCAGAGTGCTTCCGTTGAAACAATTCCTCAAGTGGAAGCTGCTCCAACTCGACCAGTCATGGCACGTTCCGCAGGACAGAGTAGTGCGTCGGGAGTACAGGAGAGAGTTGGAGGCTCGACCAGCCGATTGGAGTGCTTCAAGTGCCACGGTCGTGGTCACAAATCGTTTCAGTGCCCAAACACGAAGACACTGGTTCTTCGCGACGGGGAATACTACTCCGAGTCTGAAGTTGAAGATAACAAGATCAATGATGACTCCACCGATGAGGAAGTAGATGAAGAGATCATTGCTGATCCCGATCCAGGCAAATTTACAATGGTGAACAGGCGTGCTTTGACGATTGATGCTGCAAGCGAAACCCAGCAGCGAAGTAATCTGTTTCACACACGCTGTCGAAGTCAAGGAAATCTGCTCTCGCTGGTAATCGACGGTGGTAGCTGTACCAACGTTGTAAGCCTGGAAACAGTAAGGAAACTTGGGCTTAACACAATCAAGCATCAGGAGCCTTATAGTCTTCATTGGCTGAATGATCATGGAGCAGTACGAGTGACAAAACAAGCTTGGGTTGATGTTGAGCTCGGACATTACAAGGATCGAATTTTGTGCGATGTTGCGCCGATGCAGGTGGCTCATCTGCTTCTTGGACGACCTTGGCAATTTGATCGTGGAGTAACTCACCATGGCCGCACCAATTGCTACACTTTTGAACATGGCGGGAAGAAGCTCAAGCTCACGCCGTTGTCACCGGCGGAAGTCCGAGATGACCAACGTCAGCTGGCGGCTAATCGAGCGCAGGGAGAAGGCGGGTCGCGAAAGGAAGGCAGTCTCCTCGTTCGACGGTATGCGCTCACCGCCTTGCTGCGCCCTAGGGGGTTTCGAAGCCGATCGGCTCGGCCACTCTGTTACTCGCCGACGGCAGTGCAGGGGAAGAGAGAGAGTGAATTGGGGGGAAGAGTTGGGGGCAGTCCAGGCCGAGCCAAAGACGTCGCCACATTCGTCAAAGTCCCAGGAACGTGTAGCCCAGGTCAATTGGGGCCGAATCTCTTCGTATCAAAAAGCCCCAATTCGAAACTATCGGGCCAAATGGTGAAGAACAACGACGGCGAGAAGTGTGCATTGGACGGGGAGTTTGGGAGTGATTCGACGCCATTGGCGACTGTGGGAAAGCTCAGAATCGTCCAACGAAGCTTGCGGGTCGATCAATTGGACGGGGGGAAGCCGGACGCGAAAATACCCAATTTCAATTTGGGGTCGCCGGAATCTGGAATTCACTCGCCGGATTCTGGGAATTTTAAATTTCCCGACGGCGGGAAATGTTTGGGTGTCCATTGGGGACGAATCGGGAATAATCAAGGCACGGGAATGGGTCGAATCGATTCCTGGAAGCAAGGCGAACCTTTAGGAAGCAACGATTTGGGACGAGAAGGCGCCGAAGAGAAATTCCCAATTTTGGAATCCTTACCGGAAGTTTCGCCGTCGCCGGAAACTGCAAATTTTCCGGTCAGATTTTTGTTTGAGCAGCCTTTTTTGGATCCAGTTTGGGATCAATTCTGCAGGTCTTTTGAGGAGAAGAAGGCCCAAGCTTTGAGGACAAAGCTTTTTCAACAGGGGGGGCTTGATATGATCCCAAACCTCTCGAATTACAACCCTCAATGGATCGATCAAGAAACAGGATCAATCACGGATAAGGAGGGTGAATTTTGTCTAAGTCATTTTTATGTTGCAGGATACCATCTTTGGAAGCTTGCTACGCTCAAATGGCTCGAAGGAAATACAAGGCAAGAGTTTGGGGCTGGAATAGAGATGTTTCTCTACACAATGGAAGCTTTGGATAAGCCAGGAGAAGCCATTTTAATGATTTTCCAAAGCCTCCAAGTTGCTAGCCAGAAACTGGAATTTTGTTCAAAAATGGCTAAGTCTGGAACTGAGTTGGAGGTGACTACTTTAGGGCTTCATTCTGGACAGATGGGGGAGAACCATGGCCAGAGACGAGTACCCCATGAAACTACATTTCACAATCTACAACGTAAAGGCATTGGTTGAAGAATTGGAGTTCGTTTGATCCTTGAACAAGGCGGCCAAAGTAACTATGTTAAGCTGTTTTATTTCCTTGTAATGTAAGACTTGATTTCCTTGTGCCACAAGGATTAGTAGTAGTTATTGTTATAGTTGAACTAGGATTAGTGTTGATTCCTTTTAAGCGTAGGATGGTGGTTGTAATTGCCTATAAAAGGCTTGGAACGTGAAGGGGTGAGCAGAACATGTTGATTGAATGAATTTTATTCCAATTCCCAAACTTGAGAGTTTGTGAGTTTGATTGGTTTTTGGTTGCGATCAAAGACTTGCTGACTTTGCTTATCAATCGAGAATCGCCATCGATTGCATCGAAAGCTTCCTCATATCGAGTGTGCATCCTTCCAGGTGTAAGGGTTCCCGTTCGATTCCATCCGAAATTGAGTTTGTGAGAGCTTGACCAAGCTAGGGTCGAGTTCTGTGTTTAATCCGAGAGCATCATCTTGACCTAGCTAGCGTGCTGCGCGACTGTGATCCTTTGAGTCCCGAGTTTGGTCTCATCAGTTTGAATGATTGAATGACTTGAATCCTGATCAAATTCCTGTTGTTTCTGCTTTGACCTGGAATGAGAATATCTGCCTAGGTTGATAGAGTACCCTTAATCGAAGGTGGCGAATTGGTGACTTTAGTCGAGGGGCCAATTCGCTATTCTGTACCGAAGTCAATTCGGTAGTGGAGGTTTGGTTCATTAGGGCCTCAATCTGTTTACTCCGGTGGAGGTTAGTCGCCCGCTAGAGACTCAGATTGAGAGGGTCTGGAGACCTTTAGTCGAGACTTCAGGCTAATTGAGAACCTTCCGCAGTATAACTTTCATGAAAACTGAACTTGGTAATTACAATCCGACTTAACTGCAGTCTAGGGGGAACCATATCCGGGTGACCTCTCTTGACTTGACAACAAACCGTTTACTTGCTCTGTGTTTTGTTTGCTTGAGTTTCACTAAAAGTTCACTGCTAAATAACAAGAATTCACCTAGTAGTCATCACATCTAGGACCCGGGTTGACATTAAAACCCGACCCGCTATACTACGCTTTAGGAATTGGTTATACTTGGCCATTTTCTAGGGTGACAGTAGGAGTGAGTCACCGTGTGACTTGGCCGTGTGGCACCAAATTGCACGGGCAAAGTCACACGGGCCGTGTAGAGGACCCCTTGTGGCCGTGTGAAGGCTCGGTAAATCCCACACGGGCATCCTGGAACTCCACACGGCCGTGTGGGTCGTGGCCGCGTAGGAAGGCCGAGCCATTTATCAAAACGCCGCGGTTTGCAAAAAGTCACACGGGCAGCTGGGGAAGTCATACGGCAGTGTGGCCTGGCCGTGTGATCGGGAATTTCTGGTTAAAACCCGATTTTCAGCAAAAGGAAAGGAGAGAGCTGGGTTTTTGGTTCCCAAACACCCAAGGGACGAACCCTAGAGAGAGAGAGCGACTTGGGAACATTCTTGGAGCTATTTTGGAGGATTTTTTTGTCATTGGAGCCCGGGAATCAAGCTTGTAGATGGAGATTGAAGATCTAGATCAGATTTCTGCAGTCTCTCTCTTCTCTATGGAGTAACTTCCCTTTACTTAGGTTTTGAGGAACACTAGTTCCATGTGTTAGGATCTTTCTTGTATGAAGTTTTGGATGCTATATTGTTTGATTATAATCGAATGATGCATGATTCATTGAATTGCTTGAAGTTTGATCAGCTTTTCTTGATTTTTGCTGCAACCTGAGATAGATAGAATCTGATTAGGTTGTTAGAGCTTCATCATTTGGTAGTACTAGATTGGTTATACGAGAGTTAGTCAATCTACTGCTTTGTACTGGAATTCATTCCAGTAGTGGAGATCTGTGTGAATCGCCTTAGCAGTCTATCCCGGTGAAGGCTAGTCGCCTGCCGAGTATTCTGTCTGAGAGGGCTTGGTCAGCTTAAGAGATTCCAAGCTAATTTAGGATCTTCCGCAGTTTAATCAACAGTAGATCAACCAAAGATAATTGCAACTTGGACCAAATTGAGGAGCTAGGGGGAATCATACCTAAGTGAATTCCCAACTTGTAATTAGTAGAGTAGTCAGTAGAGTAGTTTATAAATCGATCCTTAATCTAGTTTGCTAGATAATGAACTGAAGCTGAGTAATAGTAACTCTAGAGACCCGTGGATTCGATATTTATTACTTGTGCCACTATACTTTTTTTTTTGTAAGAAGACAGACGCTAAGGGCGTCTCATTCATTCATTCATTAACAACCCGATTCATGGTGATTCCCATGATATCATAATTGATCCAGTACAAAAGTTCGGGGTCTCTCACATCGATGAGATGTGAGCCAAAAGAAACATCGTGACCCTTTTTTCGCAGGAAAATCAGCGGCATAATTTCCTTCCCTATAAACATGGGAGATACATACATCCCAATCATAGTTCAAAAGACGCCCAATCTGTTGTGCAATGAGCCCATGTCTGTGATCATCGTCGTTCCAGTTTCTGATAATCTCGATTGCTGTTGAGGAATCAAGCTTCAAGTCCACTTGTCTGTACCCTCTTTCCCACGCAATCTTCAATCCAATTTCTGCAGCCTTGAGCTCTGCACTTGTGCCACTATACTGCAGTCCCTTTCATTGGTTACACTTGGCCATTGTTAGGTGTTGTGTTTTAGCGTGTCACTCGGAAGTCTACACACATCCGCCAGGTGTGATCCTTCTTCGGCACGAGAATCACCAGAACTGCACACGGGCTTAAACTTTCTCGAACATTCCCCTTCTCCATGAGCTCGTCAATCTTCCTTTGCAGTTCTTTGGTCTCTTCCAGATTAGCTCGATATGCTGCCTTGTTTGGAATTTGAGCTCACGGCACGAAATCAATATGTTGCTCAATTTCGCGAATAGGAGGCAGCCCCTTCGGTGCTTCCACTAGAAACACGTCCTCGAACTCTTCCAACACCACTCTTGCTTCGGCTGGAACTTCTTGGACTAGCCCTTGATTGAGTAGCACGTCCCTGTACTTGAGCACAATCAAAGGTTCGCGTGCATAGGCAGCTTGCTTCAAATCTCCACTTCGTGCTAGCATCACTGCCTTCGAATCCACAATTCAAACTCCTTCTTCTCCTTTCTTGGTCGAGGCATTACTCGCCTTTTCTTGCACTCGATGTTGCTGCATTTGGAGTTGATCTCGATATACTTCACTTGGATACAGAGGCTTCAACACGAACTTATGTCCTCCATGTTGCAACTTGTACTCATTTGTCACTCCATCTTGCTGTGCTTGTCGATCAAACTGCCACGACCTGCCAAAAAGCACATGCGCAGCTTGCATAGGCACTTCATCAAAAAAATCTCATCTTTGTAATCTCCAATCTCGAACTTCATTAGTGCATGCTTTGTGACTTTGATGGATCCGTGATCGTTAAGCCATTGCAGCGTGTATGGCTTTGGATGCTTCAACGTAGGAAACCCTAGCCTCTTCACCGCACACGCACTCACAACGATCGTGCAACTTCCTCCATCGATCACCAGAGACAACAAATTTCCATCAACTACACATCTCGTATGGAAGATATTTTCTCGCTGTTCACTCTCCTCCATAGGATGCTCAGTCAATACCCTCCGTGCTACAAACAAGCTGCCTGTAGGTGGTTCCATTTCCATAGACTCATCAACATCAGAATCGGTGGTCTCTCCCTCTTCCTCAGATACATACTCGCCATTATCAAGCAAGATCAGGGTCTTCTTATTGGCACACTGGCTCGCAATGTGTCCTCTTCCATGGCATTTGAAATAATGAATTTGTCCCGATGATCCACCTTGCTTCAGAACTGGATTTGCACCATCAGTCCTTGCCGCGGGTCTAGGAGCTTCTTTCACGGCCAGTTGCGGCTTAGGATTGGTTACAACTCCTTGGCTCGAACGTGTGGAATTCGAGGAGGGTTGAAACCTCCTATTTCGAAGCTGCCGTTCCACTTTACTCGCCATATCCACCAAATCTTCAAGTTCAAGGAACGGTTGTATCTCCACAACGTTCTTGATCTCTCGATTGAGACCATACAGAAAACGAGCTATGGTAGCCTCGTCGTCCTCTCTCACATCAGCACGTATCATCAATACTTCCATCTCCTTGTGATAATCTTCAACGCTTCTAGTTCCTTACCATAGAAGCTGGAGGTTTTGATACATATCTCGCAAATGGGAACTCGGTACAAACCGATCCCTCATAATTCCTTTCATCTCATCCCACGTCTCAATAGGACGCTGCATGTTTCTCCTTCTTCTCGTTCCCAACTGATCCCACCAAACAAGTGCATAATCCAAGAACTCTAGGGCAGCCAATGTCACTTTCTTCTTATCGGAGTAATTATGACAATCAAATACTAGTTCCATCTTTCGCTTCCAATCCAATAAGCATCAGGGTTCGTGGTACCGCGAAAAGGTGGAATCGTGACCTTGAGGTTTCGCAAATCATCATCATCCTCAAAACCCTTTTCTTCCTCATCATTAAACTCCTCAAAATTTTCCTCTTCATGATGCTGCTGCCGCCCTCTCCTTTCAGCTCGAGGTATACCCAGTCGTCTAAGCTAATGCATATGACGTTGCAATTCGTGAACCAAAGGTGGAGGAGCCCGATTTTCCCTTCCCCTTTATTCTGGTGGAGGTCTAGGGTTAGGGTTTGCGTTGACCACAACCGGCTGCTGGAGCCTTGTCTCGACCGCCTCCATCCTCGTGGCTTGCTCGGCAAGCCTTGCTGTTTGCTCTTCTTGAGCACGAGCAATGTTCTCCAATTGATTTTTGATCGCTTCAAGTGTTGCTTCCATGTTTGCGATGCAAGAAAACTCCAAGAACACAAGAAACTTCAAGAACTCGCACAACCTGCTTCTTGCCTCACAAGAAACACCAAGAACTCCCAAGAACAAACAACCTCCTGTCTTGCGGCTCAAGAACACACCAAGACCTTCAAGAACACGAACAAAATATCCAAGAACGCACAAGAACACAGATAATCTTCACAAACACGCCACTGATTTGAACCTTAGCTCTGATACCACTTGATATAATCAAAGTAGCGCAGGGTCAAACTTCTCGAACCAAACAGAACCGCATAGGGTGGAATTGATCGGACAATACTCACTCATGAATAAGGGCAATCGATATGAGATCGATCGGATAGATTCAACCTGGAATAGAGGGCAATCAATATAACGGTAGCTCGCCACAACCAGGGTGAATACCTAGCTGATAAGAGTTTGCTCTAACTCTGGGGATACTCGACTGAGAATTAGAACTGAGTTCCTCAAAGGAAACACGACAAAAGCCTTTAGGGTTTATTCTCAAAATTGCCTAACCCTTAAACAGATGGTTCGACCTTTTTAAATAGGCAAAGTACAACCCAAATTTGACTCCAACATGGAAAAACAATCATAAACCGACTTTAAAACAAGGAAACCCGAAAATAGCCCAACAAACCCGTTAAGCCCCACCCGTTAAGTCTGGACCCGTTAAGCAAACTCGTTAAGGCTCCTTCTTGCAATCTGCCTTCTCTCCAACACTTCCTCCTTCTTCCTTCACTCTAATCATCATATATGGCTTCCCTCGAAACAGCTCCACGTCCATGGCTCCAGAGTAGCTCTCCAAATACATTGCAAGTTTCTCCTTCAACGTTCTTGCCTTTGCACGTGTGATTGGCCCATTGATGTCCTCATCATGCTCCACGGTGGCAGAATTGGGGTCGACGATCGATTTACAGACCAGAGTTGGGCTCAAAGGCGACAGAGAGCGGTTAACGACCGATTTCCAGACCAGAGTTGGTGCTAGCGAGGGCAGATTTGTTGGGTTGTGCTTTGTTGGGTTTCATCGAATTTTTGGCATCGATCTGATGGGCTTTTGTTTTGTTTGTGTTTGTTGGCGTGAATCTTTGTTGGTGAGCATGAAGATGGAGGAAGAGAGGGAGAAACAGAAGGCAGAGGAGGCGGAGGAGAAGGTTGAGAGAGGTGGAGAAGGGTCAAGATGATCTGGCCGGGGCAGGTTAGGGTTTGTATTGTTTTGGATAGACTGAGGTGGCGTGTTATAACGGTGTGGCGGTCAGGTTTAGTAGTTTTTGGGTTAAATCTGGCTGACGAGACAATTCCGTTTGCCACGTCAGCACTTAACGGACTCCATTAACAGAGTTGGATGGAGACTAACGGAGAGTGACCAAAACTTGGACCGTTAAACTAATCTTAATGACCAAAATTGATATTAATTTTTTTCAGTGACTAAACATGACACATTTTAATAAACTCAATTACCAAACTTGACTTTTACCCACTTTTTTATGATAAAAGTGATTTGAGTAAATATTAAAAAGTGGAGGCATGTTTTTGTAATTTGAAAAACACAAATTACTGAACCCAAATTTAAAAGTAAAAGCCGGTGGGTGCGCGAATGGCAACCTTATAAATCCATATAGATAGTTGATATTAGGCAACAATTTATTCGTATGATCTAACAACCCATACTCAGTTAACTGTGCGGTCATCTCTTATCATAAAAGTATTCACACACTGAAATTAACATGATTTTGATACTCCTTCCAAACCATCACATGAAATAGAAGAAGTATGGACCTAATTGTTCCGTCCAATAACAACTTGAACTTCCAAAAGATAGTAAACTTTTCCCAGTCATCAACTTCCACAAAATTGCAAGGATAACAAGGCAATGGAGCAAGGTGGGTACTTTAATATCTATGTTAGGGCCGCAAATGAGCCAAGCCGCTCGCGAGCAACTCGACGTTCGAATCGGAAAAAACTCGTTTGACACTCAACTCGTTATTTAACAAGCTGGCTCGCGAGCCAACTCGTTAGTTAACAAGCCAAGCTTGAGCTAGACCATGCTCAACTTGATAAACTCGCGAGCTAGCTTGATTCAGTGGTTTGTTGAGCTAAGCTCGCGAGCTGCCTTGTTTAGAGCTTGTGAAAGGATGAATTACTCTTTTAAACATGAACATTGTCTTGTTAATACAAATATGTATGAAATTTAGATGTTATTTATAGTTTCTAGTGTTCTTTCTATCATTTAAATTCTTATGTTTACACATTTTTCCAGCAAGAATGATTTTAGATCGAGCTCATCTTGAGCCGAGCTTGTACTCAGCTCAACAAGCTATGTTAATGAGCATTTATCGAGCTCTACCGAGTCGAGCTCGAGCTAGATGATTTTTATTCAAGCCGAGCTCGAGCTCGAGCTGGATTATTAAAATTCGAGTTCGAGCCGAACTCGAACTAAAAAATTAATAAATGAGCCGAACTCAATCTAAACAAAAACTCGATTCGACTCGACTTGTTTGCAGCCCTATCTATGCCCAGCCCATTCTTAACACCGAATCAGAATGGATAGTATTCATTCATGAACGTTGGCCGAGACAGATTGAAGTTATATTTCCGAGTTATTGTCATGAGAGAACACAAGTGACCCAAAACAACCTGCTCTTCGCACTCCAAATAACACAGCAGTTTATCCATCACCATCTATTACGAATTTATGAGCATGATTACACTTATCCCACGTAATTATTACTCAGCATATACCCTACATACCCTGTGAAATCCAAGCTAAGTCCAAAGCATTTTCAAACCATTATATGACAAAAACAAAAGTAGTTATGGAAGCATGTTAGTAAGTTGAATAACGTTAAGACTTCAGCCAGCCATGCATGGAACATTTATGTGTGGAAGTAATCCTCATAGCAGAAAACCCCAGTTTCCAAATTCCCCACCTCTCAAACCAGATAATAAACCAGTGAATAATGCCAGCACTTTCTAACGTACAAGATAACGATTTGCCATATGTACTCATTACTGCTTCCTTAACTATTATCATAAACAGAAATTACACAGACAGTGCCTGCCACCTGCTGGTTTGTCTTTTACATAAGGAATGTCTCACTGATGCATCTTGCAGACAGTTACCCAAATAGAGATGGTTTTTACCTTTGTTTCAAAACCCAAACCCTCTTCAGTAACGAGTTAAAAAGGGCCAAAAAATTACTTTTGACTGGCTTTGTCACTATATATTGATGATCAAGGTTCAAGTTCCAGTATCAGGAAGCAGCCTAAAGTTAAACCAACTTAGTCACTAAAAGAAAAACAAGTACAAATGAAAACCCTTTTCCTCATCTTCCTCACTTTAACTTCCACATTCTTCTTCTCCTCCTCCTCTCAGGAAGCGTCGGCTTCTGGAGAAACCGACTTGGAAACCTACATTGTCTCTGTTGAGAAACCAGCAGGCCTACTAGAATCCAATCTACATGACTGGTACACCACATTCCTCCCAGAGGCTACTACAAGCCTAAGCTCGAACCAACAACGAATCGTCCACTCCTACCGTAATGTGATCACAGGCTTTGCGGCTAGGCTCACACCACAGGAAGCCAAAGCAATGGAACAGAAGGAAGGCTTCATCTCGGCCCGAGTCCAACGATCTTTCCCACTACACACAACCTTCACTCCCAAGTTTCTCGGCCTGCCACAGAATATTCTACGAGCTGGGAACGCCTCAAATTATGGAGAGGGAGTGATCATTGGGATGATTGATTCGGGGATAAAGTATGATCACCCTTCTTTCTCCGACAAAGGCATGCCTCCCCCGCCTGCCAGATGGAGAGGCAGGTGTGACTTCAACGGCAAGCAAACATGTAACAACAAGCTCATTGGTGCTCGAAGCTTCGTCTCTACTGCTCGAGGTATCGATCTCCCGTGGGAAGAAGCCTACCATGGGAGTCATACTTCAGGGATAGCTGCAGGGTGCCCTGTAGAAGGTGCCAACGTGTTTGGACAAGCGAATGGGACAGCCACGGGGATCGCGCCTAGAGCCCATGTGGCAATGTACAAGGCCTGTGCAGTGTCCTGCTATGATGGTGACTTATTGGCAGCAATCGATGCTGCTATTGATGATGGCGTTGATCTGCTGTCAATCTCCATTGGACCTGAATCTCCTTTTCCATTCTACTACGACGTGATTGCATTGGGTGCATTTAGAGCCATTCAAAAGGGTATCTTTGTGAGCTGCTCAGCTGGAAATGATGGACCTTATCCGAGTACAGTAACCAACGATGCGCCATGGATTCTAACCGTCGGAGCGAGCACGATCGATAGGGAGATCAGAGCTACGGTGAAGTTGGGGAACAATGTGGAGCTCCATGGCCAATCCCTCTTCCAGCCTAAAGACTTCCATCCACGGCAGCCACTCCCAATCGTCCATCCTGCTGCAATTAGCAATAATGAATCAGCAGCAGTTTGTGAGAAAGGGTCACTGAAGAACATTGATGTTAAAGGCAAGATAGTCATATGCCACATGGGACAATTGAGAATCGAGGATAAGGGTAAAGAAGTGAAGGACAATGGTGGCGCAGCCATGATCGTGTTCAACGAGCAGGATGATGGATACACTACTCTTGCTACAGCCAACGTCCTTCCCGCATCACACATCAGTTACAAGGATGGATTGGTACTAAAAAATTACTTGATATCCACGCAATCTCCCACTGCAACAATCTCATTCCAAGGTACCTTGATTGGCAAGTCACAACCTGCTCCACAAATGGCCTCCTTCTCTTCCCGAGGTCCTAGCACGCAATCTCGGGGGATCCTGAAGCCCGACATAGTTGGCCCCGGGCTCAACATTCTGTCTGCTTGGGGAGTCTCAATCGACGAAGCTACGAACCCATTCAATGTGATCTCAGGAACTTCAATGTCATGCCCACATTTGAGTGGAGTTGCAGCTCTGATCAAGAGTGCTCATCCAGATTGGTCCCCTGCAGCTATCAAGTCGGCCATTTTGACCACTGCCTACACCGCTGATCTCAATGGCAACCCGATCTCCACCGAGCAGAATGTTTCTGCCACAGTGTTCGACAGGGGTTCGGGTCATGTCCACACATTGAGGGCATTGAACCCTGGTCTGGTTTATGATATCGAGCCGGATGATTACATTCCTTACCTCTGTGGGTTGGGTTACAGCGAGCAGCAGGTGAGATATATCGTGCAGAGAAAGGTGAATTGCTCGACTCCAACTTTGATACCGGGGGCTCAGCTGAACTACCCAACATTTTCGATGGTATTGGGTGCCGGTGATCAGATGACTTACACTCGAACTGTTACTAATGTGGGTCGGCCTTTCTCGACGTACATCAGTAAGGTTTTGTCGCCTCAAGGGGTTGCTGTCAAAGTCATGCCTAGTGTGATCAGGTTCAAAGATCTCAACGACAAAGCGAGCTACACTGTGACATTTACCAGGTTGGAGAATGTGACGAGAAGCAGTATCATTGGCCAAGGTTCCTTGGTCTGGAACTCCATTGGTGATGATGGATACAAGGTCGTGAGTACTATTGCTGTCGTCTTTGTTTGATCCAAGAGTTTATGGGAGTGAGCCACTTAAATAAAGGATGTCCGTAAGAGAGTGGAAGTTCATATTAATTACCTCTATTTGTTGTTGTTGTAATCGGTTTTAATGTTGTAGTTTCCATGTCTGGAACTGCTGTACAATGTAGCTTTACTACTGTATGGCTCCATCGTTATCCCATTCTTAATGAATCAATCGTTTGTGATTATTAATCAGTCATTGCTAGAACCTTTCAGCTGTGAAATCGATCCTTATTGGAACCGTTAATTAATATATAAAAGCCTAGGTTTGAGTTACTATTCATTAGTGGCTCTCACACTCCTCCAAGTGCAAGTGGGAAAATTCAAAGTCTTTCTTTTACCCCACTCTCCATAGGAAACGGTGGTGGGTAACAACTTAGGATCCCGCCAAAAGTATTTCGAGATGAGCTGCAAAATGGTGGCAAAAGCGATGATTTGTGCAAAAAGCCATAGACAAAAACCTAACGAACAACAACTAAACACAAAGTCAATGATTTGTGCAAAAAGCCATAGCCGAAAACATAGCGAACAATAACAAAACATAAAGGCGATGATTTGTGCAAAAAACCATAGACGAAAATCTAGCGAACAATAACTAAACACATAGACGAAAATCTAGCGAACAATAACGAAAATCTAGCGAAAGACTTTGAATTTTCCCATAGGCGATGATTTGCCCACCATTTTACAGTCCATCTCGAAATACTGTCGGCGGAATCCTAAGTTGTTCCCCACCATCGCTTCCCAAGGCCGCTACCACGTTTTGTATCGGGACCGAGTTTTATCCTCTTTAGTGTTTTTTTCTTTCTCTTTTTCTTTTTGTTGAGCATGATCACAATTGAACCCAATGTCGCTACCGAAAATCAATATCATATCTACTCAATGTTGGCGAGTTTTGTATCAGGACCGAGTTTCGTTCGCTTTAGTGTTTTTTCATTCATTTTTACCTTTTTGTTGAGCATGATCACAATTGAACCCAAATCCATGGGTATCCAACCTAATTCGTTCCGGTCAAAGCGACTTGAAACAGACTTTAGCATTTATAAATTTCTCTTTTCTTCTTCTTTTGGTTGGGAAGACAATTGAACCTGAATCTAAGGTTTTGACGAGTGTTGTATTGTGAGCGATGTTTATCCGCTTTTGTAGTTGGCAGGTTGGACCAAGAGTTATTAAAAAAATTTTCAAAGCGAATTGAACACATTGTTGACCAGCTTTAGATCGAAAGCGAGTTTTGTACGCTTTAATGTTTTTTTATTTCTCATTTTCCTTTTCGTTGAGAATGACAATTGAACTCTGACACATTGTTGACACATTTCGTATCGAGAGTGATTTTTATTTGCTTTTGTAATTGTCAGGTTGGGTAAATTGTGAATTTGTTAAAATGGGTCGACCTGGTCAAAGCGAGTTGAATGCAGTGTTGATAGTTTGGGGTCATGAGCGAGTTTTATCCATTTTAGTAATTTTTTTATCTTTTCCCTTTTGATTGAGAATGACAAATGAGTGCAAACACATGAGTATACAACCTAATTCGACCCGACCAAAGCGACTTGAACCCAATTTTACAGGTTTTTGGCGGGAGCGAGTTTTATCTGTTTTTGTAATTGGCGTGTTGTGTTAGGTGTGAAATTTTCCAAAACTCGGTCCAATTTGGTCAAAGTGAGTTGAACTTGGTGTTGACGAGTTTTGAGTCGGTAGCGAGTTTTAGATTTAGTGTTTTTCATTTCGCTTTTTCCTTTTGTTTAATAAAGACAACTGAACCCAAATCCATGTGTATCCAACATAATTTGACCCGATCAATGCAAGTTGAACCTTCTCAAACCTGCAATTAGTCCAAAAATTTCATAAAGAAGAACCACGATGACCTCAAACAAAAAAAAAAAACCCAAAATAGTACGACTATGTTTGATCCGAATTTTAGAAGTTTTATGTTTCAAAATTTGAAGCCAAACCATACACCTCTAAAGTTTCGCTTTTTAAAAAGCTTAAGTTTGCGTAACTTAAAAGCACAGGTTCCGATTTTAAAATACAAAATTTTACTTTAACATATATTATTCAGTTTCTAAAAAATATAATTTTCTTTCATTTATATCATTATAAAAAATAAATTGAAAAATAGTATTATTTAATATGAAATAAATCTAACGTGATCCATTTTAAATTTTTATTTTTATTTTTAGAATTTGTATTCATATTTTATGTTAGACATATTTTTAAGTAAATTTCCATTACCTCTTATATTAAAAAGTAATTCTGATAGTTTTTCATCTAAGCACTCAATAGTTTTTTTTTTAAATACTTCTTGAATAGATCCAGAGAAGCTGCTTCATTATGCAAAAGTTACAGTAGAATCAATTACTAGCCATACAAGTTTAAACATTAGCGTCATGAAAAAAGTTTAAGCATAAATAATATATTCGACGACCCTTCTAACTTATGTAAGTTCATCGACCATATGCTATTATAAATAACAAACCTATGAAAAGAATGATTAATATTGAAATAAGATTACTTTCACTTTTAGGTCAACATTAAAACTATTACTTTTTAAAATATTTATTTTTCAAATATACGAAGCGATAGCGAGCGGGCGTTTGCTAGTTATTATATACAACAAGAGTTAGTTTGTACTGCTCAAAATCTGCAGAAGTTGCTAAGTTCATTAGCTGAATATGGTAAAATTCTTGCATTGAATGAATCTCTTGGAAAGATTTCTTGATTGCTCGATGGATTTAAAGGGATAAGACTTTGAATTCCATTTCGTTTTGGCGTGGGAAGAAGGATGTGTTCATGAATATCTGTTGATATTCTTCTTATCATAAGACATGTCCTAATTCTATTGTTTCTTAGTGTCCCATCCAATGGGTGACATTATAGTAATTATTTGGTTCCGTTTGTTCTATTATTGTAATTTAAATATTTGCTTGTTTGCTCCCTTCGAGACTATTGGGCTGCTCAACGTCACTTCCCATTTAATTTCATCTTACTTTTGTTTTCCTCGCCTCTCTCTTGGTTGTTTTTATGTTTTCCCTTTCTTTGTCATTCCCCTCCCTCTTGCATATACCTTCCCAGCACTCACTCTCCTCTGTCTGTTGAAGGTGAAGAAAATAGGGAGTGAGAAGACGTGAACGTCGCTCGCGGCAAGGGGAAGGCTGGCGATGGCGCCGGGGTAAGGTCTGCCATGGATGCCGGAGATGGTCCCGGCAACGATGACTTAGGTCAGAAGCGTTCTCCTTTTTGCATATTACATTTCCATATATTTTTTACTGGTTTGAGTTCTGATTACTTCTTTTTTTGTTATGGGGTTCTCGATCAGGGAGAGGGAAGGAGAAAGACGTGAACGTCGATGGCTGTAAGGGTAAGGACGGCGATGGCGGCGACGGGAAGGACTGCTATGGATACCAGTGATTGTAATGGCAGCGACGACTTAGGTCATAGGCACTTTCCTTTTTTTTTTTTTTTTGCTTGAGTTCTGATTACTTCTCTTTTTGTTATGGGGTTCTCGCTCAGGGAGAGGGAAGGAGAAAGACGTGAACGGCGATGGCGGTGACAGGAAGGCCTTCTATGGACGGCGGTTATTGTACGGGGAACGATGACTTAGGTCAGAAGCGCTTTCCCTTTTTTTTTTTTTTTTGCTTGAGTTCTGGTTGCTTCCTTTTTTGTTATGGGGTTCTCGATCAGGAAGAGGGAAGGATAAAATATAGGCGGAGGAGGAGAGGTCGTTAGCCTGAGGAATCATAGCTTGCTGCCGGCGGTGGGACAACGACCGTCTGAGGTGAGTTCTTTTATGGATTTAATTTACTTTCCAATTTTGGAAAAATGGTATGTTTAGATTTTAAATTTATAGCTTCCTGCTAATCCTATCCGAAGTTTTCTTTTTGGATTTGTGTGTTTGACAAGAGCAGGAGAAGTGGAACTGTCGCCGTTGTATATTTCCGAAGGTAGCAGGGGCGACGAGAACTACCCACTGCTCTCTAGGTAAGTCTCTTCTTCTAAAACTTTGCTCTATTTATATTCTGGGTGTCTTCCTTTCTTTGTTTTGGTTCTGATATGTTTTTGTTTTTATCGGATTCCCGCCAAGGGAGAAGTGAGAAGAAGTCGCCATAGATATTTCTCTCTCCGTCTCATGAAGAAGAAGAACCGGCTTCCAGAACGATCTCTAACTCGCACCGCTGGCTGCAATTCCTGTCTCTTCTTCTCTTGAATCTAACCTTTTATTCTTGTTTCCCATGGTTCTCTCTTTCTTTTTTCCGGATTTGCTTGGCACAAAGCTCCCTTCTTTCTATTTTTTTTTTGTTGCACAAATCCGATCACTTTTCTGGTGGTAAGTCTATGAAAGGCAATGCAAGGAACCTCCCCAGCGATGACATGTCACTATTTCCTCTGTTCCTTTCCAGTTTCATCATGGGATTGTAATTGCTAATTTGGGGATTGTCAGTTTCAATTGTTAGTTTCCTTTTATTTGGGTCTCTCTTTCTTATTTCCAACTTGTGATTTTGATTTCCAAATGAAAAAACTTTCATAGGATGCAGCAAAAACCCAACAGTCAGTCTTCGCCATTACTGGAACGCTGGGAATCCCAATTAAACCCCTTTTGGGGTTCTATGTTTACCGTATTGATATTGAGGTATCCCATTTGTCCTTCTACAAAGTCTATCCATTGATTCATTGCTCCCTGCTACCGATCTCTCCTAGCTCCACTGTTGCTATGGAACGTTCGGACTTTGTGGTGGAATCTTCACTTGGCGCCATTTTCCCCTTCACTTGGGTTTCTGCTTTTTCCAGGGAAGCGTTTCATCGTATTGCCTCTTGAGAGGATGTATCATCATGGTGGCCAGTTGGTGAGCGTGTATTCTGCTCAGTCTATCACTACCAAGCAATTGCAGTTTCGGATTGGGGTCAAACCGGCACTAGCCTATTCTTTATATGCCCTTCTAACCCTTTATGATATGCATCAATCCGAGTAATGCCTGTGTGTTTTTTGTACGA